GGAAGATAAACCCCCTGACAGCCCCGCAGCGGGGGAGTTGGCGGGGGGCGAGCAAAAAGGGGAAGGGGGGGTACAGCCCTGGGTACAGCCCCCCGCCTTGTCGCCTTACAGAGCTGGACCTGAATACCAAGTGCATCGTGGAGATGGAAGGGAACCAGACCGTGCTTCACCCTCCGCCTTCCAACACCAAGCAGGGAGAAAGGTAAAAACTCAAGTCGCCGTGTCCCAAATAAAAACCCGTCCCCGGTTCCTCTGCCTCACCCTCGCAGCCGCTTCGCCCGGCTTTGTTTAGGGGAGCGGCGGGGTCCTGGAGCTCTTGCTGGGGGAACAGGCAGAGGCAAAGCAGGCGAGGGTGAGCGCCAGCCGGGGATCGCTGCCTTGGACTGGCATCCCTTGGCAAGTGAGGACCAGACTGTCCGTAACCTGGCTTCCCGAGTGAGGTCGGAGGTACCCAAATTGGGATTTGAAGATCCTTGTTGGCCTGGCCTAAGATTTAAAACCCGATTCTTGATTAACTGCTCAAAAAAATAAGTTGTTCATTAGGTAAGGACTTAAACTGACTAACTGTGCTGTTTTCAGAAATTTCCTTTGAGTAGGAGGCTGCTAATGACTTGATGTAACCTGTGGGGGAACAAGAAGCAGAATCTGAATTTTATGCTAGTGACGGTATTTTTTTTTAAGCTTGTTTACTGGGTTTTAATGCATTTGCATTTGAAAAGGCTGTAATTGCTAGATGCTTTATTAATTCCTTGTTGTTCTGTGAAGCAGCCTATGAGAATATGCTAAAATAATTTTGAAATCTGGCATTTAGTTGTGATGCCCCAGTAAAAAATATCCTTGGAAATAATCCAAAATACCAATGCACTAGACTGTAAAAATAGATCAGAACAGGAAAAGATTTCTTTCCTTTGAGGGAGTGTGGGGAAAGACAGGGAGGTGCAAGGGGGATAGTTACATTTTATGCTTATCTGTTCAGTTACCTGTTGACTGCTCAACAGTAAGTGGATCTGTTAAATGTAGGTAATGGCAAGGAGCATGAAATCATTTGCATGGTTATGGAGGTTTTAATCTGAACACTTTCCTAGTACTCAAGGTTTTATTAAGAATATTTTTGATTGAGTTCATAGTAGTTATAAAGAAACCGTAGAATGATAATATGTTGTAAGTTTTTTGTTTTTTTTTTTCCTCAAAGGCAGTATATCACGCTTTTATAGTTTTCCAGCAGAAAAGGTTGACACGTTTTCTATTTTACATGTCCAAGATATAAAGGTGCTTCTCACATTAATCCATATACTGGAATATAGCTGTAATCACACCAGTTTAGTTTAAATCTGACTTGCATTGTCTTCAGAACCATTGTTGTGGCTAATGTGCTGGTCTGGGTCTTGAAAGATCTGTGCTTGTTTCCTGCCCCTTTCACAGATCTTTGTGTGATCTTCTACAAGTCATGCTGCCTCTTGTGGGTCTTAGCATCCCATCTGTAAAATAGAAATCTTGTTTTTGTTGAGACTATTCTATTTTAGAAAGTATGGGGTTTTTTTCCCCTCCTGTTTATTGAAGTGTATATATGGCCTCCATCACAACACTGCTATAATAACATTAACTCTTTAAAGTGAGTGGATTTAACAGGTATAAAACATGAAATACAAATCGAGTTTACAAAGCAAGAACAGAATTAACATTTAAAAATCATTATTTCAGTAGACTAAAGAGCCTAAGGGCCAGATGGTTTAATAAAGAGCCTGTAACGTGAATTTTGCTTGTAGTGCGCATTGGCCTGCAGGTATTCAGTGAGAGGGTGCAGTGACTCTGTCTGTTGAGAGCTTATGTGGTTTGTGTTTATCTGGCTTTAATACCTGTAATATATATATAAATTCTCTTACTTGGTTGCAATTGTCTTCTGGTTCTGTGCCAAGAGCCTTCCGGGTGAGCTGTGACGCTTGTGTGCGACCTCACCATTGACAGCTGTGTTGGCAAGTGATAGCTGTCCTCTTTGCAGCCCAGTGTGAGGCTGGGATTTGGCCGGCTGTTACATGTGTGTTTGAAACAACTGCCCAATGTGTTATTGGAAAT